ACACAACATATACGTCTATGGGAGAGAGGAAAGAGAATGGCTATGGGAATAAGGCAATAAAAAATAAACTAGAGGGGTCCTTCGTGGGCCAATTATCACAATGTATCATGAATTGAGGGTCTGATAAAACCAATTTTCTACATCTGAGATTGAAAATGAGCCATTTTTTCTACAACAGCACCATCAGGGACTAGAGGAACAGTCTCAAGGAACCAACAGAAAATAAAATGGAAAATAACAAAGTAATAAGAGAGATTATAGAGATGATAAAGAAGATTAACACAAAACGAGATGTACAATGGATAACTGGAATTTCTGAAGAAGTAAACCAAAGAAATAGTATACAAAGTATACTTTGTCAAGTTTCTTTTAAAAAAATACTAAGGGAGCGCCGGGCTCAGTCAGTTAAGTGTCCACCTCCTGGCTTCAGCTCAGGCCATGCTCTCAGGGTGGTGAAATGGAGCCCTGCACCCGGCTCTGCACTGGGAAGGGAGCCTGCTTACGATTCTCTCTCTCCCTCTTCCTCTGCCCTCTAGCCCCACTTGTGTGTGCATGTTCTCTCTCTCTCTCTTAAAAAAAATAGTAACAGGGACGCCTGGGTGGCTCGGTTGGTTGGACGACTGCCTTCGGCTCAGGTCATGATCCCGGAGTCGCGGGATCGAGTCCCACATCGGGCTCCCAGCTCCACGGGGAGTCTGCTTCTCTCTCTGACCTTCTCGCTCATGCTCCCTCTCACTGTCTCTCTCTCAAATAAATAAATAAAAATCTTTAAAAAAAATAATAATAACAGAAGCCTACTGCTGTAGAGGTCTAATGTATCCCACAAAAAGTGTTAGAGAATATTAACACCAATCTCATGTTAGTGAAGTATAGAACTTCCAGAATAAAGAATCTTAGAGGCAGAAAAAGTAAGTCACTTTCAAGAGGAAACACATGGGCAGGCCTCACACAGAGCCACTAAATGCTGAAAACATCTTTTAAGTTGTAAAGAAAATAATCACCTAGCCAAATTACCATCCAGTTATAAATGTAGACATATTTTTTAATTTTTTAAGATTTTATTCATTTATTTGAGAGAGAGAGGGAGAGGGAGAGAGAGAGAAATAGAGAGGGCACATGAAGGGGGAGAGGCAGAGTGAGAGGGAGAAGCAGACTCCCCGGTGAGCTGGGAGCCCGACATGGGGCTCAATCCTAGGACCTGTAAATCATGACCTGAGCCAACAGCAGATGCCCAACCATCTGAGCTACCCAGGTGCCCCTTGAATTTTATTTTTAAGTAATCCCACACCCAACATGGGGCTTGAACCTACAACCCCAGGATCAAGAATCACATACTCTATCAGCTGAGCCAGTCAGGTGCCCCCACCTTTATAAATTCAAGGAACATATCCATAGCTATAGTTTCTAGGTTTAAATATTTGAACTATTGAATACAGGATGTGTAAATCTCAACAACTGTAGGATTTATGTGAACAGAATGTAAATGTTGTAAATATTATTACTAATATAAATGTTATTTGTAGTTGATAATGAACGAATACAATATAATGAATGACAGTTTTGCCTCATTTTCTTCATCCATAAATTAGGGATAGTAAGAGTCCCTAAAGCTCATAAAACTGTTGTGAGGATTAAATGAACTATTTCACGTAAAGTGCTTAGAACAGCATCTAGCATTTAATAAATACTGAATAAATGTTGCTTATTAGTATTATTAGATCCTGAACAAGGATAAATGAAATACCTGAAGAAATAACATGAGTTTCCTTAATGTTTTCCCACAAACCTTCTTAATTTTGGAACAATCTTACAGAAGCGAATGTATTTTTTATGGTGTTTAAAGATGGGATCAGGAGGGTGACAAAGCCTAAGAGAAACAAAATGAGGGTTGCTGGGGGGAGGGAGTGTGTGGAGAGGGTAGTGGGAGTGTGGACATTGGGAAGGGTGTGGGCTACGGTGAGCGCTGTGAAATGTATAAGCCTGATGATTCACAGGCCTGTACCCCTGGGGCAAATAGTACATTATATGTTAATTAAAAAAGAAAATAAAAATACTAAAATGCTAAAAAAATGTATATATTTAAGGTGTTCAATGTGATGACTTGATGTACTTATACATTGGGACATGTTTTTTAAAAGTTCTTATTTTTAATGTAGTTAAATTACTAATCTTTTCCTTATATTGTTAGTGTGTTTTGTGTACTTTTTAAGAAATCTTTCTCTGACATAAAGATATTTGCTTACATTGAAAAAAAATTATTTGTTTAGAATGAAGAAATTCGGGGCGCCTGGATGGCTCAGTGGGTTAAAGCCCCTCTGCCTTTGGCTCAGGTCATGATCCCAGGGTCCTGAGATCAAGCTCCGTGTAGGGCTCCCTGTTTCTCCCTCTGCCCCTCCTACCTGCTTGTACTCTCTCTCCAATAAATAAATACTTAAAAAAAAAGTGAAGAATTTCTTCAGTTTCTCTTCAATTTAAATTCTTAAGTAAAATTAAGGTGAATGCCCTATTTTAAAAGTAGCTTATATAGTATGATTCTATTTTAATTAAAGCATATCTTTAAAAAAAAAAAAGATTCCTCCATGCATCAATCCATTGATCCATCATTCTATTTTTGCACAGACAGAGACTTGCCATAAGGTTCACCAACATTAATAGTTAATTCTGGGTGACTGAGTTTTGTTGATTTTATTTTTTCTATTGTTTCAGCTTTTATTTATTTTTGAGAGAGAGAGAGAGAGAATCTTAAGCAGGTTCCGTGTGATGTGGGGATTGATCTCACATGACCCTGAGATCATGACCTGAGCCAAAATCAAGAGTCGGTTGCTTGACTGACTGAACCACCCAGGTGGCCCCCATTTTAGCTTTTAGTTTTGGAAACTTCCTGAATGATCTTTCCTCTAGTCTTCCTTCTCCAAACCATTCTTCTTCGGTTACCAGAGGTATCTTTCTTTCTTTTCTTTTCTTTTTTTTAAAGATTTATTTATTTATCTGAGAGAGAGTGAGCAAGGGGGAGGGGCAGAAGGAGAGCGAGAAACTCAAGCAGACTCACTGAGCGAGGACACCAACATGGGGCTCAACCTCACAAGCCCGAGATCAGACCTGAGCTGACACCAAGAGGCAGAAGCTTTAGCTGCACCACCCAGGCGCCCCCAGGGATGTCTTTCCAAAACATAAGTTTCTTCCTTGAGATCCCAAATGGCTTCCTATTACCTAAATAAGAAAGGTCAAACTCTTTAGCTTGGCACTGAGACCCTTCTTACCTTTACAACCTCTTCTTTCTTCGGTCTGTGATCTTGTGATTCCCATGCACTAATCTCGTTCCTTGACTACACCTGGCTTTCCTTCATTGGCACACAGCCTAGGCTATCTCTTCTATAGGGTTGCCTGCCCTGTCTACCTCCAACACCCCTGACTCATCTGTCCAATCTCGATTCCTTCCCTAGTGCTCTGTTCAAAGCCTCACTTGCCTCCCCAGTCAGCCTCTCTTTTTTTGTTCCCTCCGTAGCGCTTGGTATATACCATTATCAGCATCTGCCAGATTATAGTTTTAATATAAAACTGAAATGTGTTTTAATTTACATATTTAGATTATAATTAATCATCTTGATGTCTGTTTCCAGCCCCCTACCTACTTATTCTAATGAAGGGGCATCTCTATTCAACTTTATTTACTTATTTATGATTTTATTTATTTATTTGAGAGAGAGAGCATAAGCAGGGGAGGGGCAGAGGGAGCCAGAGCAGCAGACTCCCCATTGCAGGGAGTCTGATGCAGGGCTTGATCCCAGGACCCCCGGATCATGACCCAAACCAAAGGCAGCCACTTAACCCACCGAGCCCCCCAGGTGCTCTGGATTATAGAACTTTCTAAAAAGGTGGTTTAAAAATATAAAAAGCTTTCAAGTACATAGACCAAAAAATGCAAACATTTTTAAGTAGAAATTTTCTAAAGCCCATTGTAATAAATGGAGATTATCTGCAAACTAATAATGTCCTTAAAAACAGGTTGTTTCTCATTTGAGTAGAGTATGCATACTTTCTAAAATTTGTTTTATATTAGTATTTTCCTTAATATAACTTAGGCTTCCAAATTAGAGAATTATACATATTCTGGATTAGAATGAAATAAAGAAATTATAATGGGGGTGGCTGGCTCAGTCTGTGGAACATATGACTTGATCTCGGGGTTACGAGTTGAAGCCTCACATTGGTTGTAAGATTACTTAAAAATAAAATCTTTGAGGGGCACCTGGGTGGCTCAGTGGGTTAAAGCCTCTGCCTTCGGTTCAGGTCATGATCCCAGGGTCCTGGGATCGAGCCCCACATCGGGCTCTCTGCTCCGCAGGGAGCCTGTTTCCTCCCCTCTCTCTCTCTGCCTGCCTCTCTGCCTACTTGTGATCTCTCTCTGTCAAATAAATAAAATCTTTAAAAAAAAAATAAAAAAAATTAAAATCTTTGAAAAAGTAATTATAATGGTATCACTACCATGGCTGTTTATCACTTAATGGAAACATGTTGAATAACAGACTAACATTCTTTTCCCAAAACGGAGAAATTTGTTCAACTCCACTGCTGCTTTATTCCACGGAACTAAGTGAACCTCCCATTTCAGCACCTCATCCGTCTTAGCACTATTACTCTGCGTTCTGTATTTAAACAACTCATAGAAAGTAAGTTCTAATTCTGTTCACAGGTGTTATATTGTTTGTCATTTGCTAAGTATTTGAGCTTGGGTCTGGTACTGTGCCCAGTTACAAAAAAGAAATCACCGTTTCTGCCCTCAAAGAGTCCAGTCACAGAAATAGGATACAGACACACATAAAGTAATCAGAAAACATTGCGAGGTGATCTTTAGTGGTAGGGTCCAACTCTGTGGTAGAGTAGTTACATGGCGTGGAAGCTGAGAGGTGGTCAGGGAAGACCTTGTTAAGGGAGTTGATTTGAGCTCAGAAGTGTAGGAAGAATTTGACCTACTGGAAATAAGGGGGGAAACACCCTACCTGAGATTTTCTCCATCTCTTCCAGTAGCTTTTCCAAGTCTTTATTCAGGTCTGACAGCATTTTCAGCATGTTGTCATAGTTTCTTTCTCCAGGGTCAGAATCAGCCATCTAGGCGGTGCACAGAAAGAAGATGCAGTGAGATAGATGTCAGGGTTTCGATTCCAGCTCTATTTCTCACGCCTGGATAGGCCAAACCAGAAATCTGAGGTCATCTTTAATTTCTCCTTGTCTTATTTTCCTGACATAAGGGGTCACTGAAACTCACCCATTTTATTTGTTCATGGAATATTGACCCATCTATGGGTCAAGAAGGCCCAATGCTTGGGAGTAGTCAGTGAACGCTACCTTTGTGGAACTCATATTCTCGCCCAGCTCTTTAAAGACTTTATCCTCCTTCTCTCTAAGGCTGCAGCTTTACTTGAGGTCCATTCTTTTATCCACCATTGAATAGATTGACTGAGCATCTACTATGTGCCAGACATCTACTATGGCTGTGTAGATACTGTGGTATATTTGTGGGTCCAGACAGATAAAACCCATGCTCTCACTGAGCTTCCATTCCAAGGGGAGACACAAATAATAAACAACAGAATGGTAAAGATACCTTCAGTTTGTGGTCACTGCACAAAGAAAACAAAACAGCATGGTTTAATAAAGAGGACCTTTCATGGGGAGGGGTGCTTTAGCTAGTCAAGTCAGCCAAGTCCTTTCTAATGAAGCAGTATTTGAACTGACACTTCAGTGGTAAGCATTTTAAAGATTTTATTTCATTTTACTTATTTGAGAGACAGCATGAGCAGAGAAAGGGGCAGAGGCAGAAGGACAAGCAGACTTCCCACTGAGGAGGGGGCTTAATGTGGGGCTCAATTCCAGGACCCTGAGATCATCACTTGAACTGAAGGCAGATGCTCAACTAAGTGAGCCACCCAGGTGCCCCTGACACTTGAATCATAAAAAGGAACTGGCATGTAAAGAGCTAAGGGAAGACAGAGAGAATGGGTCAAGAATAGCTGGGAGTGGTCTTCATGTGTTTCAAAGCATGGAAAGAAAGTACAGCATGGAGTTAAGGAGCAAAGTGGTATAAGGTGAGATCAGTTCAGTAGGCAAGAATTTTGGTTTTGAGTATGAGGAAAAGCCACTGGAAATTGAGAGCAGCAGATTATGCTTTAAGAGAATGACTTCAGCTGCCATTTGGAAGATGGAATACTATAGAAGGCTGAGAGGAGGTAACAGTGGGGGAACCAGTTAGCTAAGGGAGCACTAGAATGGTCTAGAGGTGGAAGTAGCTTTGGTTTAGGGTGGTAAGTAATGATATCAATGGTGAAAAGTGGAAGGGTTCAGGCTGTATTTTAGAAGATGAGCCAAAAGAATTTGGAAAGGGATCTGATATGTCTATGTTTGCAAGGGTAAGTGATGGGAAGGGAAAAATGAAAATGACTCCTAATTTTGATGAGAACAACTTAATACATGGTGGTGTTATTAACTGAAGTGGGGAAGACTAAGAGAACTGATTAGAAGGGAAACGAAATGCTCTATTTTTTTTAAAGTTTTATTTATATAAGTAATCTCCACGCAATATGGGGCTTGAACTCACAACCCTGAGAATAAGAGTCACAAGCTCCACCAACTGAGCCAGCCAGGTGCCCCCCAAATTCTCTATGTTGAGTATGTTAATGAGAGATGCCTTTTAGACCTGTGAGTAGAGATTCAAATAGCCAGTTGAATATATAGGTCTGGAATTCAGGAGAAAGGTTGGAGCTAAAAATACAAAGTTTGGAACTAGTGGTGCACGCTCTCTTCACCTTTCACTTGGACAATTTTCATAAACTCCTAACTTCCTGCTTCTGGCTTCATCTTGTCAAATCCGTTTTCCAGTTCACCTCCTGAATGACCTTACATAACATGCAAATCCAACCATGTCACTCTGTTAACAACCGTTCAATAGCTTGCATTTTCTTTCAGGATAAAACATAATCTCTTACTACATATATAAGATCCTTAATAACCTAGCTCCTGACTCCTCCCATTCTCATCCAGTTCCGGGTTGTGACCAAGTAACTGAAGAAAGCCTTAAGACATCTCAAATTAAAATCTGTAAGAGTTGTGTATTTCCATGAGACATGATTAGAAAAGATTCATGAAAAAACATAAAACTCTGTAAAGTTAAAAAAATTTACAGTTTTCTTATAAAAGAGCTAAAGAAATTCAAAATGAAATAAAATCATTCTATCATGTAGGTGGTTACAAAATCTGTGCAAAGGCAAAGTAGATAATGACACACTTCATATCTAAGTTGTGTAGCCACTTGCTCAATTCATTAATTTATATGATACCTGTTATGTTCTTTTACCCACACATTCAACACATATTTATTGAGCACTATTTTAGACTCTGAGAATACAGTGGTGAACAAAACAGGTTAAAATTCCTGATTTCATGGAATTTATATTCTAGTGGTGAGAGGAGAATATGAACAAGATTAATAAGTGAAATAAATATAAGGAGGGGATAGGTACCAAGGAAAAAAAGTCAACCAGAGACGGAGGGTGGAACAGTGTGTGTGAAGGGGGTGGCTGTAATTTAAATAAGTGTACAGGCTTGTTGTGATGAGCACAGGGTGTTGAATGGAAGTGTTGAATCACTACATTATACACCTGAAACTAACATTATGCTGTATGTCAACTACTAGAATTTAAATAAAAACTTAAAAAAAAAAGGAGCAAAGAGTTGGAGAAAAAAGAAAGAGAGAGGCAAACCAAGAAACAGACTCTTAGAGAACAAACTGACAGTTGCCAGAAGGGAGGTGGGTGGGGGGATGGGTTAAATAGGTGATATTAAGGAGTGCACTTGTTATGAGCACTGAGTCTTGATTAAAAGTGTTGAATCACTATATTGCACATCTGAAACTAACATTATACTATATGTTAACTAAATGGAATTTAAAGAAAAACTTAGAAATAAATAAGTAAGTGTGCACTGAAGTGATTTTGACCAGAGACTTGCAGGAAGTGAGAGAATGGGCTATACAGATATCTGGGAAAAGTGTATCCCAGGCAGAGGAAAGAGTAAGAACAAAGCCCCTGAGCTTGGAGTTAGCTGGATGAGCTGGAGGAAGAGCAACGAAGGCTATAGTTGGTATAGAGAGAGGGAAGGGGAGAGTAGCAGAAAATGAAGTAAAAATGTGGGGGAGTAGAAGTATGGCAGGCCCTGAGGCCACCAAAGAGACTATTTTTCTTTGAGTGAGATGGGAGTCTGGGGGGTGATAATCTGATTTACATTTTAATAAATCACTAGGTTGAGAGCAGCTTCTCCGGACCGGGGTGGAAGCAGGGAGACTAGAAGCCCACTAGAATAATGCAGGTGAGAGATAATAACAGCTTGGATTTGCACAGAAATGATGTAAGTAATATGAAAGAGGATAATTCAGGGTACATTTTGAGGGCACGGCCAACAAGATTTGCTGAGTCAATGTGGGGTTAGAGACGACACGAAGATTTTTGGCTGGACAACCAGAAATGGAGATACCGTTAACTGAGATGAGGGAAAATGAGAAGACACTGGGTTGTGTGGGAAAGAAAGAACTCAGTTTTGAACATGTTAAGATGGGTGATGGGTATTGAGGAGGGCATGTGCTGTGATGAGCACTAGGTGTTACACTTAACTAATGAATACTGAACAGTATATCAAAAACTAGTTATGTATTATACAGTGGCTAACCGAATATAATAAAAAGAAAAAGATATCTATGAGGCATCCAAGTGGGGGTGCTGAGTAGGCAACTACATAAATGAATTCAGGACAGAGTAGGCTAAAGACAGAAATTTAGAAGTCATCAGCATACAGATGCTATCTGACATGAGGCTGGGTGAGATCAAGGGAGATAATACAAACGGAGAAGAGGTCCATCAAGTTTGGGGAGATGTGAAGGAACCAGCCACGGAGACTGAGGAAGAGGGGCCAGAGAGGTAGAAGGGAAGCAAGTCTGGGCTCCTAAGTCAAGTCCAGACTCTCAGAGAGTCACTGGACCCCAGCTAATGCCCTCTGATGACATGACATCTCAACAAGCTGAGAAGACAGCCCGAAAGAGTGCAACAGAAAGGGACTCCAAAAACTGTATGGGATACAACAGGTGTTTCCTTAGTGGGTGAATAACTTATAATGCTGAGAAGGTAAGGAATTAAGATAGGACATGTTGAAGAGCATAAAAAAGAATTTCTGGGGTGCCTGGTGGCTCAGTCGGTTAAACATCTGCCTTCAGCTCAGGTCATGATCCCAGGGTCTGGGGATTGAGCCCGCATCAGGCTCAGCAGGGAGTCTGCTTCTCCTCCTCCTCTCTACTTGTGCTCTCTCTCACGTAAATAAAGATCTTTAAAAAGTAAAATTCCTGTGACTATTTGGTATTTTATGCATTTCTATGTTTAAAAGAATTTGGCTTGTTAGAGTCAATAGGTCAGTTCTGTCGTTCTGGTTTAAAATGTGAAATTGATTATGGGTTATAATTTTACATATTTTTAAAGATTTTATTTATTTGAGAAAGAGAGCGCACACAACTGGGAGGTGGGGGGTTAGAGCAGAGGAAGAAGGATACTCCCCGCTGAGCAGGGAGCCCGACATGGGCACAATTCCAGGACCCTGAGATCATGACCCAAGCCGAAGATAGGTGCTCAACCGACTGAACCACCAAGGCGCCCCTGATTATGGGTTACAATTTTAAGTCAAAATCTGTTTAACTTTACAAAGAGGTTTAGAACATTTAGGAGAACCTGAAGTTCACCATATTTATAAGTTTCACTTATGATATTTATAAGAATTATTTAAGTGGGAAGGTTTGTTGTTAAGACAACTGAGGGTACTTGCAAGACTCTGTAGTGCTCTTCCTGCCTCAATGATGGATTGTCCACACAGAAATCAGGGCCACAAGGTCAAAGTAGTCTGCAATACTGAGCCCCCACATGGAGAGCTCCTTTTCTGGAGTCTCCCAGACCTGTGATGGACCTTATGAGAATGGGAATTAAACTTTTGTTAAACCAAACACACACACACACACACACACACACACACACACACACACACATACACAATAAGTTTAAGTTTGTAAATGGAACAAAAACATAACGTTATTACTATTTAAATTTGCTAGACCTAGAATAAGATTGAGTTTAGAATGAGGGTGCCTGCGT